AAAAAAAAAAAAAAAAAAAAAAAAAAAAACCGATTTGGATCTAAAGTCTAGTCCTCATGAAAGGTCGTCCTGGTCAAGGTGTCCTGGCATGAAGTCCAAAACGACAAGTCTAGTCAGGATCAGGAGGTGGCGGCCGTCCGAATCTGAAGGATGAGTACTGTAGCTGCTCTATCCGAATGAGGGTCCGAAGCCGAAGGGGAATGTCCTCTGGGTGAAGGATGCATCTCTGAGGTATAGATGCCCCCGTGCTAGCAAGAAAATCGGCGGGGCGGTTCCCCTCTCAGAATATGTGTGAGTTCTGGTAATGGATCGAGCGAAGGGTGTCTCTGATGCACAAAGGGGATGGTGGATCTGCCATGAGCCCTGGTGGCCAGATGTCAAAAGTGTGATGACAGCTGCAGCATCCATCTCTATCCAGATATGGGAGGAGATCGATGCGGCAATCTCAAGACCAATCTGGAGCGTTCATTTACCATGGAGTAAATGCATCATAAAAGTTATTTCACACAGTACGCGTGTGTAGGATCGCCAAACTCATTATACCATAAATCAATGCAGATTCTTTCACCGACTACCTATGATATACTCTCTCTGAAAAAGGTGTTGGCCATTTTTCGGAAAAAAAGTCCATTCTCTAGAGCATCATCAAGAACGGTCTACTAAGTTGTCAATTTAATCAAAATTTGTACAATAACCAACATAGTGTACTAAAAGTAATCATTATTAGTTGTCATATTTAGTACACGTACTATGTTGGTTTTTGTACGAGCTTTGATTAAAATGACATCTTAGTGGATCATCCTTGAAGACGCCCTATATAATGGACAATTTTCATAAAATGACCAACATAGTGTACTAAAAATAAAATTTATCAGCTCCATCTATAAATGCAATGTGCCCTTCATTCTGCTACTCACCACAAGTCTACACCCTCACATCCATTTTTGTGAACTTTTTTTAATTAACCAAATTATGGCTCCAATTATTACAAAATGCATGATCCTTATTATAGTCTCCGTTTTCGTGACACCACAAATGCAGCTCATGATTCAGGCTCAGCAACAAGTTCCTTGCATGTACTTGTTTGGAGACTCACAATTCGACAACGGCAACAACAATGTCCTAATCACGACGTCTAAAACCAATTATCGACCGTACGGCATCGACTATGTAGACGGTCCAACCGGCAGATTTTCCAACGGTTTAACCATACCTGATGGTCTCGGTATATAATTTTCATCTCGTTTTTTTTGTTATTTTTTTCTTTTTTCTCAACCGTATATACGGACGATACGGACACAACTATATAAGTAATTAATATGATGATTAATCTTCGCAGCACTACTATTAGGCTTTGATCGTCCAATTTCACCCTTTGTGGCTGTAAGAGGCTCATCAGACATTCTCAGAGGTGTAAATTATGGATCAGGAGGAGCAGGCATCCTCAGCGACTCAGGGATATTATTGGTAATTAACCATAATCATGCATGTTATATTATCAACCAAATCAAAGCAGTAACATTAAATTTTTACCAAAGAAAAATCATTCATACTTAACTAATTCTAATTATAAAGATCAATAGTTGACGGGTTATATATGTTTCAATTTATTTTTATTTATTTTTTTTCATGTAGGGCGATCGTTTCACGATGGACGAGCAGCTGCAAAATCACCGAACAATAATCGGACGTATCAGGCCTTCACTTGGGTTTAATCAAACCGCGGTCAATGAATATCTGAACCAGTGCTTATACGTCGTGAACATGGGTAGTAACGACTACCTTAACAACTATTATCTGCCGGTTTCGACTTCCCGTCTATTGTACTCGCCCGACGAGTTTTCCAAGATCTTGATCAAGAAGTTCTCTCAACAGCTAAGGGTTGGTAGTTTATTTTTACTATAATTGGCTATAATTCTATTTTTATAAAAAAAAAATCAATACTAAAATTAGCCAAGTTGTTTTTCTATGTAAGGGCTAGCTAGTTTTTGAATATTCATTTTTAAGCAAAAATGCATTTTTAGTCATATTGGTTTAACTCTATTGAAATTTGAGTAATGCTATAAAGCGAACTTGAGTTACAACTTGGGTTACAACACCATTGTAAATGCATTATTTAATAATTTCTTGATAATACATTTACACTTGGGTGGTAATCCAAGTTGTCACCCAAGTTGGCCAAATAGCATTATTCTTGAAATTTTAGTCTCAAGTTTTCAAATTTTTTGCCTTTTTATTCTATGATTATATTTTGCTCTAATTTCAGTCAGACTTTTGAAAACTAAAATTGCAACAAAATTTTAAACTATGAGACTAAAATTGCTACAAAATTTTAAGTTATAAGACTTAAATTGCCAACAATTCCAATAGAAATTTCAATGCTATTATTTCTTTTGGAAATTTTAAATGGATTCTAATGAAAATTCCAACAAAAATATTCCGTTGGAATGCATTTTTCATTAGAACTTCTGCATGATTTTGACGATTCCAAGATGAATTTTCCAACGATGGTGGAAATAAAAATTCCAACCCAAATTGCATATTCCAACATAAATTCCTACGATAAAAAGGCATTGAAAATATAGCCGTTGGAATCATCAAATTTCCATCTGAAAATCCAATGAAAAACACAAGAATATTTCTGTTGGAATTTCTGTTGGAACAATTCCAACGGAAGCTATACCACTGGAGTATTTGTTGAAATTTCCATTACAATATATTTCTATAGAATTTTACATTGGAATATAACTATTTTTTTTTTTTTTGTAGTGTTGAGGACTAAAAAAGGTAAATTGCATTTTTAGTCGAGTAAATTATAATTTTAGTTCTGTATGTTTCACTAATTTAACTTTTTCGTCCTCTTCGAAATGAGTTTTTTTATTTTCGTCTCGTATGTTTGAAAAAAAAAGGTTACACAAAGGTCCTTTTCATACATAAGGGACGAAATTGAAACATTTTTTTGCAAAACATAAAGGACATTATTGTTGCGAAAATGACCTTTTTTCAAATATACGGGACAAAAATAAAAAACACAATTCGAATAGGATGAAAAAGTTAGAGTAGTGTAACATACCCGACTAAAATTATAATTTACTCTTCTTTTAACTTTTCCTCTTCTATAAAGTAAACTCACGAAAAAAGACAGATGAATGCAATTCAATAAGCCTATAAACAACACTTGCCAAACTAAAAATCCTGTTTTGACTAAATATTAATTCATGTACCTTAAATTTAAAGCTAGCACTAATATTAGCAAAGTTGTTTTACTATATATGTACGTAAGGGCTAGCTAGCTAGTTTTTGAATATTAGTATTCATTTTTAACTATTCATCTTCTTTAAAGTAAACTCATGAAGAAGGCAATGAATGCAATTATCAATAAGCCTATATACAAGATTTGCCAAACTAATTAAATTCCTGTTTGACTAAATATTAATCAATGTACATTAAATTAAAAGCTAGCACTAATTATATCATTAATGTAACCTTCTTCGCCCGGCATGTATATACAGAGCTTGTACGACACTGGAGCAAGAAAAGTCGCAGTTTTCGGGGTCGGTTTACTAGGTTGCGTCCCTCAAGAGCTCGCCAATTTTCCTCCCAACGGGACGCCTTGTGTGGATTTCATAAATAACGGAGTCCAATTTTTCAACATGAAGCTCCCGCCACTAATCGACACCCTCAACGACTTGCCAAATGCCGAGTTTATCCTCATAAACACCACTAGCATCTCACTTGGAGATCCTTCACTCGTCGGTGAGCCTTTTATAAACGAAAATTATTATAAATTGGCTTTACGATTTTTGCGCAATTCTAGCCTCGTAAGTTTAGGTTCTGATTTTGCGCAAACTAGTTTGGGGGCAAAATTTCAAAAATGATCACCTGTGTTGGTCATTTTTCAAAAAAAAAATCAGGCATCATCAAGAATGGTCCACTAAATTGTCAATTTAATCAAAATTCCTACAATAAGCCAATACATTGTACTAAAAGTGATATTGTACGAATTTTGATTAATGTGACAATTTAGTGCACTATTTCTGATAAAGTCCTATATGATGGACTTTTTTTTTCTTGAAAAATGATCACCATAGCGTACTAAAAATAAAATTTAGCCGCAGTTCTGGTTCTGGACAACGCTAGTTCGGAACAAAAGTTGCACAAAATAAGGACATATGGCATGAAAATTTAAACTTAAAATTTTATTTCAGGAATTCAAGTTACAAACGCTTCGTGCTGCCCCACAGTAAGAAGCACGGGACTGTGTGTACCCAACCAGGTCACGTGCAACAATAGGGATGTGTACGTTTTTTGGGACAATTTTCATCCGACGGATATTGTTAATCGTGCTACTTCTAGACGAGCGTATAAAAAGTTGTTGTCGTCGGATGCATATCCAGTTGACATTGGAACTCTAGTGCAGCAGTAAAAATGCATGCTTTTATAGTTTATAAATAAATAAATAAATAATGGATTTCACCAAAGTTCAAATTATGTGAAAAATTACATGTTTATGTGTGTTACTTTGTTTCCTACAATTTGACTAAGAACTTTTGTGCTCTTACAGATTTAAGTCTGGCCTGCAATGTACCTAGCTAGAAGATATAATAAAAGGTGTTTGTGACCAAATTTTATTTTTGTGCAGTATTATGGTGTTGATAAATATAATTAAGTCGCCTACACATTAGGCAGCTTTCGGCCGGTCAATGTTCACACAACCAGAATTTCTGATCGAACGTACATAAAACAAGGCGAACGAGACTTATTACTGCAGGGATAACATAATAGCGATTTAATAGAAACTAAGCATGTTTTCAACGTTTTCAAATGATCACCTAACTCGACGACCTTCTTTAGCCACGTTAAACTCCTGCTAGAAGGTTAATAACTATATTGTGTATTAACTATGTTTATTAGATGAAAACATACTGCACGTAAGTTTTATAATTAACACGTTTAACTTGAAAAAACAATGCGGAAAATTAGGCCGATCGTGGTTTGGAATACTTTTAAGCTGCATTAAGAAAGAAAATTATAATCACATAAATGTTAGTAGTACATATCTTCATTAGCAAATACATTACCAGCCTTACAAAAAGTGATTAATATCCAGTAGAAAGTACATATTCTAACACCTGGGCACAACAAAATATTCTAGATATGCTTGCTGTTTTTTGTTCTGAATGAGATGATATAACGTGGAGCCATCTTTCTTCCAATCGGTCGTTTGTTACCGTCAAATCATACCTTCAGGTCGAATTTCCACCAAGCCGTCCGAGGGCCCTAACTCGACCTGTCATGCATCTTTAAACCTCCAGTGTATTCCTCGACCTAAAGACTCTTTAATTTTGTACTAATGTTCGACCTCCTTTCAACCTACCTGATCCTGTTCAACCAACCGGTTTACCGAGTGTGTTCTACCTGGTGTGGTGTCCCATATCAGTGATAAAATATATATTTAGTATAAAATAATCTAAAATGGTAATTAGTATGTTTGTCCCTAATGGGTTTATAATTTTAAATGTTAAAAGATACAAAATATATTTTCAACCGGTCGGAGTGCTAGACGTTACCAAATTGATTACCCGATTCATCAAATTGATCGGTGCTTCGGCGGTTCAACAGCTGACCCATTGATCCATAGGCCAGCCCGATCAATTACGAGAATATAAGAACATTGGATAAACAGATGTCCAAAGGCCTCGAAGCTATGGGTCCACGTTTCTTAAAATTGTGAGTAGGAATTGGCTCGGGGGTATAGAGGTTTCGGTTTAAGAATCCATGATTCTTGTTATAGCTCGGATCCACCGGTTGCAGGTCAAACGGGTAGGTCCAAGTATTCTTTTAGAAAAAAAAATCATTGATTCGCCGAGTCAGGTGAATCTTGGTATTAATCTTGCAATTACAACAAGATCCAACAATCGAAATTGAATTATTCATTGGTCAGACCCCGAAACAGGTCGGGCAGATTTGGGTTGTGTTCGGACTCACCAGGCCAATAATCGACACAATTATCAAATTTCTTGTATTTGTGAGCCACATCTTGGAAAAAAATATCAAAAAAAAAGGAAGGGAAAAGAGCGAATTCCCATGGCTAAGGGCCGCCCGACCGGTCGACCCGGCACGGATCCGGCACGGGCCCGGCCCACACCGGGCCGTGAAAATTTCGAACTGCATATGCGCGCAGTCCACACTGTAAACCATCTTCTCATTTAATGTTCTTTATCCTTCCTTCCCAATCTCTTGAGAAGAAAACAAGATTCCCTAAAAATGTCGGATTATCTTCCTCAGGAAATATGGGCCAACGTTTTCGTCCGGCTACCCGTCAAGACGCTCATCGGAATCCGGTCGGTCTGTAAGTATTTCGACCACATCATCCGCAGCCGCTCTTTCATTTCCGACCACCTCGCAATCTCCAAGCAAAATCAAATCCCTCTCGTTCGATACCTATGGGGAACAGAAAAATCCGAGCGAGAAGAGCACTACGCGCTCATACCCAATCACCTCACACACTTCGGAGACATTCAAGAAATCGATTTCCCATTTAGGTCTGAATGCTACAAACATTTCAAGGTAATCGGCGCCTGCAACGGGCTGATCTGTTTGTCCCATGAGGGTTACCGTCGCGCTCGCGGGATTATACTGTGGAACCCGTCGATCAGAAGGTACTTAGCCCTCCCAAAACCTCAATTGTCTCTCAAATCCCTCAAGGCATTTGTTTTCACGTATGTGGTCGGTTTCGGGTATGACTGCGGGTCGGACGACTACAAGGTGTTGAGAATTACGAATGTCTGTGGAATCAGAAGCCGGGAAAATCAGCGTGTCGACCCGCCTATGCCGAGTCCCGTGGTTGAGATATACACGGTCAAGTCGGGGTCTTGGAGGAATTTAAATATAGATGAGCTAACTTTTCCTTATCGTTTGCATAATAATACCAATCAGGCTTTCGTGCAGGGATGTTTGCATTGGCTGAACGGGCACTCTTCGATTGCTTGTTTTGATTTGAAAAATGAGGTGTTTAATGGAGGGATAGGCTTTCCCGAGGGTGTGACCAGGTCAGGGTGGGGCTCTCACTTGACGGTGCTTTGGGAAAAGCTTGCCCTTGTAGTGGACCACACCCCGGTCAAGGAGATTGCTAATGTGTGGGTCATGGAGGAGTATGGAGAGGTGGGTTCGTGGAGGAAGCTGTACAATGTTGATACGACCCCGAGATATTTCTTGTTCGTGGGGTTCACGGACAATGGGAACATGATGTGCACCTTAGACCGTCAAAAGCTTTACTGTTACGATCCGGACAGGGATTTCTTGAACAATCTGTTCACTTGTGGGGTCAGGGGCTCATTCCATGTGGAGATGTATATGGAGAGCTTGGTTCTGGTTGATGGTAGGAGTACGGTTCCCAGGTCGGAGGCTATTACGTTCGAAGGTGAAGATTGGTGAGAATTTTGGGTCGAGTGTAGTGTGTTTAGTCCGGTATTGTTCGTAGGTCTTGATTGTTGTTAGTTTTTTCGGATCATCCCATGTGAAATTTTCATGCTATCTGTTTATAACTTTTGGACCAGAAAAATGTTTTGCGGTTTGTTAACTTTTTGCTGTCTTGGGGAATGTAAGTATTGGTTTGAATCATCATGGATCATGAACCCAAGTTTCTTTTTCTCTTAAATTTCAATTCTTGGCGATCATTCGAATGTATTGGTGTGCCTTGGCCCTTGAGTTCATTTGACAACCCAATTTGCCAGATTCAAGTGGGATACAAAATTAAGATCTTGATGTACAAATTAGTGTGTGAGCTCCACTTCACTAGTAGAAGACAGAAGTACCACAAAACAGTTGCATAACATTACCCTAATCAGCGTGTACCAAAGGGATCGTAGTCTCACAGATCTCGTGGGCGTCCTTCAGCCGGTTCGCATCGTCTGACGCCCGGATTAACCGACCATAACCAGGGCCATCCACCGACTGAGTGCTCTATGCTCCTGGAGTTGGCTAGCAAAGAAAAAGAGGACTCGGCATACGGATCCCATCACATGATCGGAGCTTTAGCCGCTTTGATAACCTCATTGGGAAGATGATATTCGTTTGGGATGTCGGGAGACACCACTGACTTTTACCGGACGAACCACTCTTCTGAAAACCCGGTCGGCCACCCCAAGTTAGCGACCCGATCATTGTTAGTCAGCATATACTTGCGAGTACCAGTCAAGTGGATGTGAGCTCTTTGAGCTCTTTCTCCAGATCGTCGTCGACGACCCCAGTCACCTTCAGCAGTCCTCCTTGGAGCTCCCCAGAGCTTTCTTCTTCTGCGGCGGAGCCTCGTCTCTGCCACTGGCTGCACCCCATTTTTGCCCAGTTCGGCCTCAACAGTAGCCATCATGACCCTGCCTGGTAGACTTAGGTCAGGTCGAGACCGGTCCCATGGGGAGTACAATAGTGTTCTATAAGTCGTTAGGCGCTCGACCTGCGCCCAGCTCCTAGAGCGCCAAGGCGGGCCTAAAAATTAAGATTAAGTACCTTATTTTTTATTTATTTTCACTACCCACAAAATAAAACTATCTCAACTTATAGTAAGTCCACACACCTAAATCAAAATAATAACATTAATATATTACAAAGGAAAGACGATAATAAAATAATGTAATTAATATTAAAAAAAAAATGAAAAATTATCATCGAGCCTGCCTAGGCGCCGCTCAGCCGGTTGGCCGTCGAGCCCACCTAGAAGATCCTAGACGACCGCCTAGGCCGATTTTTATAACAATGGACCACATCATATGCCAACCGGCTTGGGCTCCAGGAGGTGTCGGTTCAAGAACCCACGATTCTTGTTTTGGATCAGATCCACGTGTTTCAGGCCCACTCAACGAGTCTAAGTATTTTTTTCTTATAAAAAAAAAGAAAAACGTTGACCCTCCGAGTAGGGTGAATCTTGTCATTAATCTTGCAATGACTACAAGATCCAACAATCGAAATTGAATTATAGATGGGTTAGACCTGGAAGCAGCATACCGATTGTAGGGTTAAGACCCGCTTGACCAATAACCAAACTCAGCATACCGATTCTAGGTAGGTTTAAGACCCGCCTGACCAATAACCAAACTCGACATGTGTATACACGAGCCAAGTTCTAGTTTAGACCCGAAACCTTGTCAACGGTACGTGTCTGACCCCCCTGGTCAATTCGAAATTCAGTTGTATTTGTGAGCCACTTCTTAGAAAAAGAATATAAAAAAAGAAAAATATCGGGAAGTAGTGCTGGCCTCAATATCTACGGGCTTACTCGCTAAATGGCAAAATGAAAAAAAAAAAANNAAAAAAAAAAAAAAAAAAGGAGGGAAATGAAAGCCAATTCCCCAAGTGAAAATTTCGTACTGCATATGCGCAATCCACACTGTAAACCCTCTTCTCATTCACTGTTCTTTCTCCTTCCTTCCCAATCTCTTTGACAAGAAAACAAAAATTCCCTAAAAATGTCTGATTATCTTCCTCAGGAAGTATGGGCCAACGTTTTCCTCCGGCTACCCGTGAAGACGCTCATCGGAATACGGTCGGTCTGTAAGTACTTCGACCACATCATCCTCAGCCCCTCTTTCATTTCCGACCACCTCGCACACTCCAAGCAAAATCAAATCCCTATCGTTCGATACCTAAGGGGAAGAGAAAAATCCAAGCGAAAAGAGCACTACGCGCTCATACCCAATGACCTCGAATACCTCGAAGACATTCGAGAAATCGATTTCCCATTTAGGTCTGAATGCTACAAACATTTCAAGGTAATCGCCGCCTGCAACGGGTTGATCTGTTTGTCCGATGAGAGTTACCGTCGCGCTCGCGGGATTATACTGTGGAACCCGTCAATCAAAAGGTACTTAGCCCTCCCCAAACCTCAATTGTCTCTCAAATCCCTCAAGGCATTTAATTTCACATATGTGGTCGGTTTCGGGTATGACTGTGGGTCGGACGACTATAAAGTATTGAGGATTACGTATGTATATGGATTCAGAGGCGGGAAAAAACGGCGTATCGACCCACCTAAGCCGGGTCCCGTAATTGAAATGTACACAGTCAAGTCGGGGTCTTGGAGGAATTTAAATATAGACGAGCTAACTTTTCCTCGTCTGTTTCATGAGACCAATCAGGCTTTCGTGCGGGGATGCTTGCATTGGCCGAATGGGTGGTGGTCTTCGATTGCTTGTTTCGATTTGAGAAATGAGGCGTTTAATGGAGGTATAGATTTGCCCGAGAGTGCACGCGAGTGGGACTGGAACTTTCACTTTCACTTGGCGGTGCTTGGGGAAAAGCTTGCCCTTGTAGTGGACCGCACCGCGGTCAAGGGGATTGCTCATGTGTGGGTCATGGAGGAGTATGGGGAGGTGGGATCGTGGAGGAAGCTGTACAATGTAGATACAATGCCGAAATATTTAATGTTCGTGGGGTTCACGGACAATGGGAACATAATGGGCACCATAGACCGTAACAAGCTTTATTGTTACGATCCAGACAAGGATTACTTGAACAATCTGTGCATTCGTGGGGCCATGGGCTCGTTCCACGTGGAGATGTATATGGAGAGTTTGATTCTGGTTGATGGGGAGAGCGCGGTTTCCAGGTCGGTGGCTATTACCTGTGAAGGTGAAGATTGGTGAGAATTTTGGGTCTACTGTAGTGCGTTTAGTCTGGTATTGTTCGTAGGTCTTGATTGATGTTAATTTTTTCGGATCATCCCATGTGAAACTTTTATGCTACTGTTTATGACTCTACGGGACTATAAGAATTGGTTTGAATCATCATGGATCACGAACCCAATTTCATTTCCTCTTGAATTCCAATTCATGGTGATCATTCGAATGTATTGATTTGAGCTTTGAGTTCATTTGACAATCCAATTTGCCAGATTCACGTGGGATGCAAAATCAAGATCTCGATGCACAAATTAGAGTCTGAGCAACACTTCACTAGTAGAAAGACAAAAATACCAGAAAACGGTTGCATAACATTACCATAATCAGTTTTATTGCGCGTTCTTCATAATTTTTCAAGTCACTTATTGGCAGTTTACAGCAGACAAATTACTTCACAACTCAGGACCAATTTTTCCATATTAGGACCTATTAAGCTTAAGACTTGAGGTTGCACTCAGCCACCTTCTCCCATGACTTGCAGCTCTTGTCCTCAGTGTCGGTTTTGTACAGTGCCAGACGAGATATCTGGAAGCTTAAACTCCCAATGCCATCATCAAGAGCATAAGCTTTCTCTTGAGCTCTCTTTTTCTCTTCATCCGTCAAGTCCCCATAGAGTAGGCTCAAGTGAGGCATATACGCTGTCAAAAATTTAACATATTAGACAATCGAGAACTTTCTCTACTTTCTAAGCTCTTTCTCGTACAATTCCAAAGCAGAACAAGCGTCGACTACACCTCGTTACATTCATAAAATCACATTCATGTAACGGGTTTGCTTTTAATTCCACATATGAACTCGACACACGGTCAAAAGCTTTGGCGTCAAAAAGAAAACAAAAAAAATCCAAGTCTCGACATTAGCAAGGTTGATGAGCAGCTTACGAGTTGAGTTCTTGTAACCGAGATGACCACAGCAATGAGCACTAGCCTCCACCACCTGTTTTCAAAGATTTTAGCAATAACAATGTTATGCCAGCAACTGTCTCATCATCCTTGACTTCAATAAGCATGTATTAAAACAGTGGAAAAACTACACAAATTCTTCCCACATTTTTGAAAAACAGTGGAAAAACTTGCGCCTAAAAAAATGGCAGCTTTCTGTTCCATTACCTACTCACGGAACGTGTGTAAATTCGATCTCTTAAGGCCTTAGCCTCTTTCATTGTACCCAAAAAAAAAAAAATAATAATAATAATAAGCTCTAAATTTTTGTCTCCTTTCAAGGGAATAGACGTAATTGAATGAAACAAATAAAAAGTAAACAAAATAGATGCTCGATTTTAAATTTCCACTAAACACAACACCAAAAAGGAGGGGAAGAAGATAAAATTCACAGAATATACCTGAGGCGTCGGATGAAGGAGGAGAAAAACGCACTGGTAGAAGAAGGTGCCGGCGGCGACTTTCTCCACGGTGGCACCATACGCCTTGAGCCCCTCGCACGCCTTGGCGAACCTGTCGCGGGCCTCCGCCTCGGTCAGGCTGACGGCGCCGACGACCGTCACGTGGGGCTCAAACTGGGGCCCGCCGAACTCGGATCTGAGGCCGTCCATCAGTTTCTTCAGCCGCGGCGTCAGCTCCACCGGCGGCAAGGCCCACACCGAGTAGACATCCCTCTTAGCTTCGCCTGGAGTAGGGTTTGCAGTTTCCATAGAAATTTATCAAGCACATTTGGAGGAAAACGGAAACTTTTTTTATATAAGTGTGGCCAAATTTGGGGGGATCAACAGTTCATGTTCTCGAAATCGTTTGTTGTAAAGTGTTCTTTTTCTTTTTTTTTTTTTTGGTGTCGAAAGAATTCCGTCGAGATTTATAATTGTTAAATTAACTATTCATAACGATTAAATAATAATTTAATTGTTTCCATTGAGATTTGTAACCGTTAGATCAATTAGCTACGATTACATGATAATTTAACAGTTACCGATTAAATAATAATTTAATTGTTTCCATTGAGATTTGTAACCGTTAGATCAATTAGCTACGATTACATGATAATTTAACAGTTACCGAAACGGTATAAGTGCCATCTTCAAACCGTTTGGCTTCCTATTCTTATTCAAATGTGTAAATATTATAATTCAATACTCATCCAATAAAATAAATCATGAAATTAAAATAATATAAAAAGTGTATTTTCGGTACCTCAATTCATTATTCGTATACATTATTAATTGAAAATAAATATAATATAATACTCTAACACGGATCATAAATTGTACCCGAAGTTCCATGCATAAGACAAATATTATAGAACACATACATACATTATGATATATATCCATTGAAAATGAATACATACATGAGTTTATTTTTCTCTCTTCTTTATTTTGTTACATAAAGTAGGAAATACACATTGGTCCCTATCATGGAAATGGAGCCAAAGATTTCATCTGTGTTTGCTCGACATCAATGGCGAACCCTTTGCCCGTTTTCATCCAATAATCGGCATAATTAGACACAACTGAGGCCTCAGGAACCGCAATATCCACCCTCTTTCTCATAAGCTCGTCAGTCGACATTTTGTACTTGTTGTCCCTCTTTGTAATAAGCTCCCGATCAATCGAGCCCATGTTCACTCCTTGTGGTGACACCATTAGCGCCGGTGCACCCAAGGGCACTCTATCACCTGCATTATGTTCACCCCATTCACAGAACTTTCTTTCACACCAATCAAGAAGTTACAACACACAAATATATGTGTATATAAGCTTTAGATAATTTAAACTATAATTTCAAGTTTAAAAACCTCTATCAACTTGCCAAGTGCACCAAAATTTGCCATACGTCCTGGCTAAGTCATGGAGTTCCGACTTTTGAACCATCTCTGGTATTCGAGGGTGCACCCACAAGCCTGATGTGATCTGTTGTCGATTGCATCGTGATTAATTCATGATTGGTCGTTAGAAAAATCGTTTAGCACCAAATTCAAGCACCTTTTATAGTTTGATATACGGAGAGAACAACCAAGTCGATTGCAAATACATAAAATAAATCATGTTAAACACCAAACAACGGAAAGATTTTTGCTCGGTCAGAATGTACTCGATTAATGATCATTTAAGCTCCATCCATAATTTCAACTATCCACAACCAAAATTTGCTATGAATTTACCACAATGAAAACGAGCAAAGCTTGATGGAGGAAAAAAGATCTCACAGTGGGGTCTACTTGTTTTTTTAGTCGGTCTCATTCAATGTGAGTGTTTTGTACACCACTATGTACAATCATTTATCTTCTATAAAATCGTCCAACTGTTCCTCGAATCATTTATAAAGTTAAATTTAGTGAAAGTAAAATAAATTTACTGCAAAAAGATAACCTCGTAACCGTGAGAGTGCCAAAGCTTCTGTTCCTCAGGCGGAAGGGTGTCGAAAATCCGGTCCGAAACAATATACTCCACGCCTACAACAAATCAATGCACAAAAATTTTGAAAAAAAAAATATATATATATTATCACAGATAAATACACATAAGCAGTAATTTTCTGTAGAATAAAACGAACATAACTACTTACCTACGAGGCGACCGGTGGACTCATCGGAATCATAAACGGCGCACTGGAGGAAGTCCTGGCTCAGTCGGGTCACGTAGTGGTGGGTCTCTATTTGTCGGGTCATGTCGTGGCTATAAACCGCAAAGGTACAAACGTGCTGGCTCATGTTCTTGATGGGCTTAAGGGTCTGCAGCATTTGGGCCCCCTTGTCCAGAATATGCTGGCCCACCGTCATGGGCTTTCCGGGCGGCACAGAGCCGTCGCCGGGCGGCATAGGTCCTGTGGTTTGATCGCTCGAGGCCATGTTGGGTCTATTGGATCAATTTTTTATTTTTATTTTTTTCTTTGGGGCTTTTTATCAAACAGGTTAGCGTCAATGTGTATCTGCAAGGCTATCGGTATGGATGATGAGATCCGTTTTATGGGACGCAGGATTTTCGTGTGGAGAAGACACGTAGCCATGCAGGAAGATCGAGGTGGCTCAAAATCGGTTCAAATGGACGTCATCTATTTCACACTCACCTTATCATAAATTCATATTTTCTTTTTTCCCTAACTTACCCCCGTGCGATGGACGGGACAAAAATATTAAATGAGTTATTTTCACAGACTTGTCCGTTTAAGTTTAAAAAATAATAATGTTATTATCTATTTTCTACCTCTTTTAATCAACGTTAAGTTCAAAAAATTATTAAGCCACCTCTGGCAAATATGTATGGAGTTATGTGCTCGTGTCTCATAAGTCATAAACATTATGAATAACATTACAAATTATTCATTCAAATTTTTATTCACTAGTATGTAACCCGTGCGATGCGGCTGTATTTACTTTGGAGAATATTAAAAATTAAAATATATTAATAAATAAAAGAGTGATAATTCGTAGGAAAATTATTAAACTATAAAATGTTCCTCATGCAAAAAAATATATTATTTAAACTTTCTTATACACAACATTATTTGTTCAATAACTGAGCAACTCGTCGTTTCCACAAACTAATATTTTCAACTATTATATTTATTTACACTCGAAACAAACAACATAATTGTCTGTGACTAAAAATCGATTTCTTTAAGAACATGCCAACGTACAATAAATGTTGACCTTGACTCTTCTTGATCTATTACTTAACATGTCAACGTACAATAAATGTTGAC